TTTTTTTTTTTTTTTTTATCAAAGATTGAACGAACCTTATTGAAAAATTTGAGGACATCGGATCGCTAGTTGGAAATTATAGAGGTATTACCCTTAGATGAAGTTGTTGAGAGATGTTACTTTTTTAAGGGATAAAAGGAGCATGATTTTATTCTTCACGACGATGCGATTGAATTGATTTTTGAAAGACTTCTCTAGTTCTGCGTTTTCGGTTTGGATGGAGCAACCGTTCTATTTAATTTGTTAATGCCGCCAGGAATAGATCTCGCGGCCGTGATATACGCAGCTCTCTGTACAAAAGGGTACGTTTTGACAAGTGTAAATCATGATAACCTGTTCCGGCGAGATGGAAACCTTGCACGCTTTCTTTCGTCGAGCAAACTCAGCTAGAGATAACCAATGAAAACAGAAGCAATATGAAGCAATAAGAAGTCGAGTCTTCTTTTTCTTCTTCTAAACATTGTCCTGCGCGAGATGAATCTAAATACTCTGGAACATTGTCTACGAGATTTCTTCTTTTCGTCGTCGAAATACACAAAATACACTTCTCTTCGCTAATGAAAAACAAACTTATAAAATCTACGAAACAAATGTTATACACGTTGAAAAAAAAAACAAAAATCGTCGTTTAAATTTGAATAAAAATAACTGTGACCCGAGTGACTTCGGTTTTAATCGCACTCGTACTTGTAAAGGGGAATTCTATTGCGTATGCATAGATACCCACTATCGTTCTTGGCAAAGGAGCGCGATTCCTTGGCAAAGGAAACGAAACGTATACTTGCCGGTTTTGTTGAATTCAATAAAAGTTTGTCGTACAGACAAACGTGTTGGGAAGGTGAGCTTAAAAACGACAGACGAGACGGGTTGACGATGTGAAGCAGTGGCACACACACGACTCCGAGACTTTAGAGTAGAATTGATTTTTATTGTGACTAGATTACAAACGGGGCCTTTCGGCGCTCAATATCGCCCAGTAGGAACGTTTACACGTAGCGAGTGAAACGACAGGAATGAAAACATTCTTCTGCGGGCATTTGCAATCACTCACCGCGGGAACTGGGATATGTGATTACGACGAACATTTGTACGACATTGGGATTCATACAAAATAGCGGTCGTTTCTTAAATCTAGCTTACGTCACTATTTGTTCTATAGCGTTATGGCTGCATCGACTTTCGAAGTTGATCGATTCACAGTCGTTTCTTCCCTCTGTTTAAATTCTTCCCTGTGTTTAAATCTGTTTTTTTTTTCTTCTTCTTCTTATCGACGGTGATTTGTCTTCTTTTTTTCTTTCTTCTTCAAATTTACTCCAGATACCATTTTGTCGAGCGAGTCCAATAATTTCACAATATTCGGTAATATTTTCTAACGGAGAGGAATATTTTCTGACGATGGATCGTTTGATCGGGGATGAGACGAGAAACGTAATGGAAAGAACGTAACGCGAAGAGAATGAATCGATCGGACTTCGAAAGTACAGTTACACGT